AGTCTTCAATTCCTAGAAGGCTAACTCCTGTTGATTAGTCCAATCAAATGGCATGTTTTCTGTGTCAACTATGTTAATGGCATAATAAGTTTGCTTATGTCATTGTTTATTGAACTCTATTTGATGTACCACGTAAATTGATTGATTGTTAATTATTATTTCAAAAAAGGGGTTGAAATGATTGAATTTTATCGAATCCCTTATTGGCATTGTTATATTGTTTTGAAAATGGGAGATATGATTGTAATTGTTGGACTTCATTCATATAAACCTTTATATTGATATTACTCACTAGGCTCCACTTCACCTCTCTCCCTTATATATATGTAGATAAGCAAGCGGAACATCACATTTAAAGTCACCTCGACGTCTACCCTATTAAAGCCTTTTGGAAAGTGCCTCCATAAAGAAGCGAGCTTGGACTCGAGAGGAGTCAAGCATTGTCAACCTAACTTTTGTCTTGTTTTGTTCTTGTTTCTTTAGATAATTTTTCAACTTGTATGAATGATGTAGGATGAGGAGTCTAACTTTGGACTATTGTACATTAGTTTTATGAAATTAAAGTTGGTTTTTACTACTTATGATTTCAACATGTATGAACTGCTCAATGGCTCGTTATTATTTTATGCTTTTATTTCTACTAAGCCCCATTGCTATATTATGATTGATTTGACATTAAAGCCGAAGGTAATCTGGGATTATTGGCCAGTCATGGCTTGAACCTCTAGGGGCGGGCTAGGGTCGTGACAGTAAAATTGGCCCATTAGCTCGCAGTCCACCCAAAGCTTGCCTGTGTCCTTGTGTGGCCTGACCCAACTAGGCCTAGCCCAAGACCCTGGGCCTGAGACAAAGCTGATTCTAATTTTTTTTTCTATTTTTTAATATGCATACATATCATTTGATTCATTAATTTAAATGGCAATTGACAACATTTTAGAATCAGTATATCATTGAATTTCAGACTTAAGATTTTTGTGTCATCTTTCATCTTATTTCAAAGTTTCATTTTAACAATATTCATAATCGAAGTTAAGTTTCTATATCACTTCTTCCAAAGTTGGGGTCATTTTATCATATAAATTATTTTGAGACCTTACACTTCAACAAACTACACATTTGGCGACTAAAATTGGCGACCAAAACAATTTTAGTCGCCAAAAACAGCAGATTGGGCGACTAAAAAACTGATTTAGTCGGCATTGATTGAATCTTTTTAGCTACTAAACTATTTTAGTCGCCATATAGTCTTATTGGCTACCAAACTTAGTTTTAGTCGCTGTTTGTTAGCATTTTACGCTACTAAAATTTGATTTTGTCGTCATATAATAACATTTTGCGACAAAACATTTTTGTCGCCCAAAAATGGGCATATTTTTGATGAATTTTTTACGACCACAGCTAAGTTAGTCGTTGTATATTCAATATTGCCGATGAAAATTTGAATTTAGTAGCCAAAGAAACAGCTTTTGGGGACCAATTTTTAGTCGCTGTTAAGGATATTTGGTGAAAAATAGTCATTTAGTCACTAAAGCTTCGAAATTTTTTTAGAAGGAAACTAATTAATATTCGTGCCCAATATATATTACGCACACACATTTTTGTTTTGTTTTCACTCACACACCAACATACAGAGCAGTCCATACCTCACCTCACCATTGATCGCTCACCACCGCCGATCATCACCATCGTTGGCCACCAGCGGTCGCCACCATGACCACTGCAAATCGGCCCCACCACTGATTACAAGTATTTGTCTCTCGTCTCTCTCCCTCTCTGTCGATCTGGGTCTCCTTCAAGAACCAAGAAAAGGTGTAACACTATGTGTTTGTGTGCAATAGTAAGACACAAACACACTTATACACACACAAGAGAGAGATATAGAGATAGGATATGTATGAAACCCTAACCCTAGAACTCAAACCCTAAAAATGGCTGTCTAAAATGTCTAACCCTTAAGCCAAGAGAGAAGCCCTCTCTTTATAGAGCCTTTTGTCTTGTAAAGCTTACAAGACAAGCTTCTAAAGAGAGAGATAAATGCAAGACAGCTGTGTCAAAATATCTGCAAAAGCAGATGCACAGTAGTCGACTGGCCAAAGATGTAATTGACCAAAAAAAGATAGCCGACCAGCCATCTATAGTGCCGACCGGCCAAATATTTGGCCAGTGGCCACAAAACACAGCCGGTGGCCTCAAGCCACGGCCGGGGGGGGGGGGGGGGGGGGGTTATCAAAACAATGAAGACACCTTAGCTACATGAACTTGGGTTTCGACTTTGTATGAGTTCACAACTCCACATTTTTCTATTTTTTCTTGTCTTTCTTTGATAAATACATGTTTTTATGCAGCCCAAAATAACCTCCAAGATAAAGCAAACGCAAATGAGGCAACATCATAACTTCATTCAATAGTCTATTTCAGATTTAATCAAGTCCTAATTTATACATTCTTTAAGCTGCTCTCCATCCAGCTCAGTTTTATATATTTATTGGTATTGCTATGTTTTAGAGGTCAAGGGTATTGTGGTAATTTTCAAACTTAAAAGAGAACTTGATTGAAAAAGCTTCTCCAAATAGCCTTTTTATATATGCCGTGTACAAGTTTGAAGCCCTTTTGGCACTTCTCTTTAATATACTAATCAAAGCAAAATCTTCTCCAACTAGTGAGCTCATCAAACTTTTTATGTGATGCACTTCTAAACAAGGAGTGGTGCCTAAGGTAGTGTAGGAGTGATACCTAGACTCTTAATTGTTTTTTCTTTTTTTCTTCTTCTCTTCAACTTTTTGCTTTATGTTAGCTATTAAAAGCCCATAACCTGACACTATTAACCTCCTATACATGCCTTTAGAGCCCTATTTTACAAACATGAGAGATTTTTCCTTCAAAAATTCAGGAACACAAAAATATGTCAACCCAGCCCAGGGTTGTTCGCTTTTACTATTCATCAATCGGGTAACATTTACAGCCCGGAACAACACCCAAGCCTTTTTCTTGCCTAACTATAACTCAAACTAATGACCATTTGTTACACCCTTAAAGACCCAAACCAGAACATTGTTTTTCACTAACCTTCTATGTACATAAAGATAAACCGCCTTTGTTTTACACGCTTAAAGATCCTAATAGTTTGTTTGAGCCAAAAAGGAAAGAAAGAGAAACAGAGTGCAAACATTTGATCAAAGGGAAAACTTCACTTTATTCCCATGTGGTTTAAGTCATGTGCGGTTTATCCCTCTCCAAACGTTTGAAAATAACCACATAATCCCCATGTGATTTGTGGACTAAAACGCACGCTAACTTCTGTTAACCGAACATGTAAAATGACCTTTATGCCCTTGTCTTCTTCCTCTTCTCTCTTTTAAATTAAACATGCAAATATATATATATATATATACACACACAGCCCATGCCCATTCTTCTCTCCCTTCTTCATCTAACGACTGCCAACCCCCACTCCATGCCCATTCCCGCCCAACGACCAACCCCCGATCATGGCTTTCCCAACAATAACAAATTTGCACCAACTGTAATATCATTATTTTTATTTATTTAATTTTTGTTGATTTAGAGATCATATTCTCCCATGGCTGCCAACTTCCAGCCCATGCAGCCCATTCCCGCCCACTAACCATGACCCAATCACAGCTTCTGAATAATCTGATCACAATTCACATCGACCATAATATTTTATTTTGTTTTTTTTTTTTTTATTAAGAGCCTCAACTCAACACCCAATTTAACTAATCTTTTCTCCTCCTGTTCAAAATATATATATATATATATATATGTTCAATCCTCATTTAACCCCATGATAGCTATATATATTATGATTAAATTGAAATTACTTTTATAACAGTAGAGAGAGAAAATGAAGTGGCAGGATGATCAATCAATGGGGACTTTCATGGAAGTAGACCATAGTCAAAATTGTTATTCAATGATATTAGCTCATTTTACAGTTCAACAGAGTTATTTATATGAACTAAATGGCTATTCTGATGTTTTCCTGCAAGTATAGATGTTGATGGCTAGGAAGGATTTAAAGGGGCAAGAGAGAAATAGTGAGAGAAGGGAAAATGGTAGAGAGAGAAGGAGGAAGTAGAATGACATGTCTTTGTAAATTTAAAGATGTGCAAGGGGCATTTTGGTCTTAAAATATAGCTTACACTCTTCATGGGTGCGTGAACCTCACAGCTAGTTAACTTGGATGGAAAAGTAGGCAGTGCACTTTGGTCCACAAACCACGTGAGGGTTATGTGGTCATTTTCAAACATTAAGGGGGTAAACTGCACATGGCCCAAATCACACGGGAGTAAAGTGAAGTTTGCCCTTGATTTAATTTAGCAAGAAAAAACGAGAAATTTTGAATTTTTATAAGTAACCCTTGCATAGACAAATTAAAATTTTCTTGTGCTTCTTGTCCTTTTTTCAAAATATTAAAAACTTAGTTATTGTGCAAATATGAGTTGTACAAGAAAATTAACTTTCTTGAAGTTTTCACCAAATTTCACGCTAAACAAATTCAGAAAAACTTTCACTTTTTTCTCCTTCTCTCACTTTCCACCACTTTCATCCTAATCAAACTTAGCCTACGGCTCCACAAATTTCACCTCATTAGATATTTCATTATTAGAAATAGATATGGAAATAATGTAAAACATCAAGTCAATGAACGCACTACAATCCGCGAGCAATCAAACCACTTAGCATAGTAACTACCACCAAATGAGTCAAGCTCCACCATAGTATAGTGATGTGTTACACTTTATTACTATTAACATGAATGAATATCACATAAACATTGCAAATGACAGCTCTATATTACCGTATGTGGTGACACTACAACATCTGCAAGCATTGTGCCATGTTGAAGAAACAAAGCAAAAATAAAACAACTTAAGAAAAATCTAGATACATCATAAAAGTATAACGTTATATGCATTCATTGAGTATGGATGTGGAAGAACAATAAAATAAAAGAAACAAGACAAGAACAAAAATACATAATATGCTTGTGCTAATAAACACGAACACTTCTAAGAAGATGGTTTGTCCATGTCGAACACTGACACCCGTCAGACATATCCTGACACATGTTGCACCTGCATCCAAACGTGTCTTTTATTTTAAATCACACTCAAACACACTTCAAACACTTGAAAGACACACGTGTTCATCACTTAAACACATTAAATGGGTCATCTAGATTTTTTCCAAATGTTAAAAGTTTTTGTTTTCTTTTATAATTCAAATTTTTCATTTTTGTTCTTAAAAGTATGGGTGGTATAGAGAATGTATGAGAGTAGTGCTATTTGGACCGAACATCATTTTTTTGAAATTCAAGAAAGTGTTTCACTTGAAATGAGATGAGATGGTGAGGAGCACATCAAAAAGTCTCAAATATGATAGAAGACATTCAATCTAGTTGAAGAAGGCGTGGTGCAGTAGGCGAGGGTCATCAGGCAGATATGTGCTGGGGTTAAGGTGGGTTAGTTCTTATGCTACTCCTCGAGTTGCACTTAATTTGGGTTTGAGGAATTTTTTGTGGATTGAGAAAAGGAAGTGACCCATGGTGTATAATTATGAAATATGTACAGATATTGAGGTTCATGCTCCAACCATGTAAAGGTTGTATAGTATGCAAAACTTTTCTACTATATTTGCTTTTAAATCACTTAAGCTCCTCCACTTCACGGGGACATTTTTTGAAGGTCTTCTAGAAAGAAGGGGAAAATTGAAGGGGAAATCACTAATCAGTGGTACTGTCAAAAAATTATTACAGATTGATGAAAAACTTTTGTCTTTAATTATTAATATACTTGTAAAGTTTACCACTTATTTGTAATTTTTTTAAAAAGCCTACCTTGCATTGAAAATTCAACATGACTTTGCAATCAACATCAACAAACCTAAGAAGTTTCCTCATCGTACTCAAGCCCATGTAACATAGACCCTCACCAATGGTATGGAAGTGATGTTAGTAATAACTCTTAAAAAGGATACCACTAGGCAATACGAGAGAGATTATCTGAAGTTAACTGACACCAAAAGAGTGGGAACTGTTTAGAGGGAAAAAGGTACAATAAGGTGAGGAGTGTCCCACCATAGTATATATAGTATAAACTCAAGTGTGGATATATATATATAAATGTTAGAAACCCATATTTCCCCAATTACTGCATTTTCATAACAACAAATCATAGTTGTTAATTACTTAATACATAAACTGAGATCAATATATATAATCTTAAAGATAAAACAATTCAGAAAATGAAAAGACAAACAAAAACAAAAACAAAACCAAATTCTGGAGAGTAGAAATGAAATAAGCAAACTGGCCTTGTTTGAACCAAAAACTCTATATAATTCCAGTAAATGGGTCCCTCTTTTTCCATTTCTCTTCGCTGATGGGTTCACAATAGTAATACACAACTAAAATTTAATCAAATTTAACATACACTTACCCAATTAACCAATAAATAAATAAATAAGCAATTAGACAGATTACAGACCAGAAAAACAAAAACCCATTTTGAAAACCGCGAACTTTAACCAATGAAATTAACAAATGCATCATACACACATATCTCAACAACCCAGAAGAAGGCCCTAACAATCACTTCCCCATGAAGGACCCAGTTTGCCATTGTTTTCAAAAGACTGATTTAGGTCCATTTGCACAAGAAAAATTGCAATGGGAAGCACAAAAATTGAATCTTTATCAACTTAATTCAGCATTTTCATTTCCAAACCCCTAAAATTATTAAAAAGAAAAAAGAGAAGAAAACATACCCAGAAGAGCTTACATTTTAGCGAATTGAATGGCATTGCCGCCGACACCAGCGAAGCAATCGATGACGACTCCGCCGCCACTCCTCTCGGCGTGCCTGACAGCAATCTCTTCGGGCGTGACCGAGAACCATCCTTCTTCGTCCATTTTTATACCCTGATCGTATTTGGAGAACAGGTCGTACCTCTGTAACCAGTACTTCTTCACCAGTGGACTCAAACCTTCTTCTCTAGCTCGCTTTCTTGCCCTAATTTTTACTGAAGAATACAGAGAAATCAGCATTTGTGTATGTATGAAAGTTACTGATACATATATGATCAAATTTGAAATGAAGTTAGGGTTTACATCGCCGTTTTCCGATCTTGTGCTGTTTCTGTCGACTTTTGCTAGGCTTTGGAACCTTTTTCTTCATCCTCGTCTCTCTCCCTCTCTCTCTCTCTCTCTCGGAGAACTGTGCAGAATATAGAGCACAGAGGGACTATGGCGTGTTTGGATCATGGTTATTAGTATTTTTTATGAGTTTATTTTTAAATAAATTACAAATACACTCATTGATATTTATTTAAAATACGAATTATTTTTCATAATTTTAAAAATTATAAATATTTTTTTGTTAAAATTTTTTATTTAACAAAATTAATTAAAAAAATAAAATTCATAATTGCTCTCTAATACAATAATAAAATTACCTAAATTATTAATTGAAACATATTTCTAATATCATTAAAAACTATTAATTAATTTCATGATTTATTAATAAAATGGATAATTTGTTATGAAATTAAAAACTTTAAGGGATGAAATGTAATTTTCAAAACTACATGGAATGATTCGTATTTTAAACAAATTTTAAAGGTGTATCTATAATTTATTCTTAAAAATATTATATTACTTATAATATTATGCAATTGAAACAAATTAATAGATTATATTTATTACAAGTGTGCTTCACACTATTGTGGTACCTCAAAAAAAATTTAAATTATTTTGGATAACCTAAACAAGTCTTAACGGGGGTTCAGTCCAAGCAAAAAAGCTCACCAACCAAATGTTTAGGGCAAGTCACACCCACCTCTATAAAAAGAAAACATCCCACTATACACCTACCTCTAGAAAACAGGTATGTCTCACTCTCACTTGACACCACACACTACACTTTTTAGATTATTTGGCTTCTCTTTCATAAACGAGAACTAACTTTATCATCAATGTTCCCAACCGGCAATCTCAACTAAGTGGCATCAACTATGTTTATTTTTGCAGATTATGAGCCAAACACCATCTCTTCGTTAGATCTCTTGAACAATCCATATGAGATGACTTTTGGGGTCTCACAATTGGCGTGGAAATGACCTAAAGAATTCAATAAAGAGAAGAACAAAAACCATACTCAAGGTGCTCAAACCGATGTTACATATTATTGTAAGTAAATATGGTCAAAGCACAAAAGTTAGTGATCTTGCTTTATAAAAAAACAAATTTTAACCAACACAAGTTATACTATGTTCATTTGACCAATCTCTTTCTAGGAAAGTAAACCCACAGTTGGGTCTTTGTCTTCTTTCTTTTTGATTATGTTTATTGCTAAAGTTCAACCTATATATCTATTCTATTATTAAAAGAGAACAACAATTTTGATGTCATGAAGCCACTCCTAAAAAAAATTTCTCAATTTTTCCTAAAATGACCTTAACTTCTTACAATTACATCAGTTTTAATTAGGAGTAAAATGAAAAATTAAAACACTAATTTCACTTCCCTCTTCCCACTCTCCACGTTTGAAGCAGTTACAACATCTTCCTTGAATTGCATTTTGCATTTGATTTCACTGAAAAGTACTATACAACTTCACTATGTTTTTCATACAAAAATTCTAAAACTTCCCTGTATCTTCACTATATTTTGCATGCCTTTTGAACTTCCGCACCGGATTGATGCTTTCCAATTACTGCATCACACAAAAGGAACTACATACCTACATACGGTAAGCAATGAGCATCAAAAAACAATGCTTTTATTATTTTTTTTTTTCCCCTGTTTGCTTTCCAATTATTGCATCACACAAAAAAAATAATGGTCTGTTTGTTTGTTTGCACTATTGCAATTTTTCTGTGTTTGTTATTTAAAATAAAATTCTATGCCCTTAAAAAAATCATATAAAATGAGTGTCTTGAATTTTTATTTTTTTTTTTTTTTTTTTTTTTTGTGTAATCATACTTTCTATAAATAAATAAAAAAATTTATAGAAAAAAAAAATTTATTAGTTTGATTTATTTGTTAATACAATCAGTGTTCATAAAATTTGTTTTTTTTCGTTCCCCTATTTCGTATAATTTCTATTTATATTTTTCACTCTTTTTTTTTTTTTTTCTCTTATCACTTTTTTTTGTTTGGCCCATGTGGAGTTAAATATTGGTTTTTTTTTTAGTAGTAAAAATTGTGAATAGTAAATTCGACAGAATGGGGTATCAACATAATTGTGATTTTTTTTTTTTTTTTTTGTGTAGCTGCTATATTACTTTTTGCAGCGTTGCTTTATGACTTTGTATATTGTTCAGAATAAACAACTTCTCGGGTGATTTCTTTATCACAATATTCTACATTGACTAGTAAGTTTTCATGTATGGGTGTGTTATTGGGGGATAAGGGGGGACTATCCACTGTTGGAATCCATGTCTGTGCCTCCTCCTATCGTCGTTGATTTTTTTTTTAGTCCGCGGACTCCATGTCCGCCGGACTCCATTCTCCATATGGGGACTATCTCTATCCTGGGGGGTGTGATTGTTTTGAGGGGACTAATCAAACTGAATGGTGGAGTTTAATGCGAAAATGACAATTTTGACTCTACTAATTTAAAGGGTTTTATTAGGGGTGTTTAATAAATCATCACACACCATATTATGCTGTAGTAATAAATCTTGGTATAGCGTGTAAGTATTAATTAAAATTTAAATGTTCTCTATTTAAAAATAAAGATAGTTCCATTACATTGTATACGTTTTTGTAGTATAATAGTCTCTAATATATTTAATTTTTAAAAAATTTTTTATTAGTGATATTTTATACTTAAAAGGGAAATGTTTCAATTATTTTAAATTGTTAATCACGTTTCTTAGAATTTAATTTATCTTCATTCAATTTAATAAGAACCTGATATTTTTTAATAGAATGTTTTATTTAAAAATAAGAAACAGATAAAAGGATGTGGCATCAATTGTTATTAATTTTGGCTGTCTCTGGGCAAAAGACAAGTTGTGAGATTTAGGACAATAGGTTATTTTGGCTTGCTTTCTTTCAATTGAAACGAGAATATTCTTTACTTATTCAATCAATTTAGTTCACCCCAATCAATATTTCCCACTCTCGGTCAGTTCTCAGCAAAAGTGCCGCGGTATCTTAACGTGGTAAATGATGATGGTAAAGTTTTAGTTTGTCGCTATATATTGAAATGAGCCAAACACCAAGAAGCCAATTTCTATAAGTATGACGTAGGTAGAAATCGAATACACTTTTTGAAACATTCATATGAGACAGATTTTTTGGGTTGTCATCTTAACAATAATGGCTAGTAAGAGAAACATCGATGTAAAATATAATCAATTATATAGTAAGAAGAACAAACAACTCTAAATAAATAATATTCATCTAAGGCTTAATTGAATTTACACTAAAGAATACCAGCTTGAATAATCACATATTATAAACATAAATTGGTGAATAATAATTTAAGTAACAACTTTAATGTGTCAAAATCTAGTTCACAAATAAAGTTTAAAAATAAGTAAAAGTATTCTTGAACTTTATAAAAAAAATCATTAATAAAATTTACAATTAATATATTAATGTTATTAAATTGAGTTCATTAATTAGACCTAAAATTCATTTATCTAGGAAAAGTATATATCGCACAGTTAAAGGTAGTCAGTAGGGATAATCGGTATGACGTGTTTACGGCATGTATTAATATCTGATATAAAGTGATTAGGCTTCAATCATAACAATAATCTCTAATCATCTATCTCCAGGACAGTGAATAGTCCCCATAATGGTTGGATACAAAGGAGTCCGCCGTGAAAGGAGTCCGCCGGACAAAAAAATCAAAACAACGGTAAGGAAGAGGGGCCAGAAGAGTCATAGAGCAAGTCAAGGAGAAGCATGTGAATGACTACGTTGGATTGGTACACGCCTCATCCCGTCGTGTATAACCACAAATAAAAATCACATTTCATCATTCTTCAATCTAAGAAAATAAAATGAAAGATCAAAAGTAGATAATTTTAGTTGATCATGAATTACCAAACAATTTTCGAACCAGAATGAGAGTTTTAATAGTGAATTTATAATCTGAACAATAAAAGTTCATAAAAGAACTTGGAAAAATTAAAGACAAAAATACTTATATGTCAACTTCACACCTCTTACCCATCACAAACAAACAAAAGTTTGAAAGACATGCTACAAGATTATGGTTGATAGCCACACTTATCCCTGCAATCTGTCAGAACTAATTTACAACTTCTAGTTATTTGACTATCTCAAAACAGATAAAAAAAGACTCAAAATTATTACTCCAACACAATGGATCAAAGAACAAAAAATAGTGATAAGAAACAAAAAACAAAAAAGTAGTCGGAAAAAACTCTACAAATATAGTAATAGTTACGAAAATATCATGGTAGGGCAACGAAAAAACCATAATAGAGACATATCTTGTTACTCTACTTCACTATTGTGTGAGTAGGTAGGTAGTGAAACATTTTTAGATGGCACTTTGACCTATATCCGTCACGTGATGCATTGCTTTTCCAATTAATTTTGAGAAAAATTGAACCAAAGCATGGAAATGTATGATTTCACAAAAATACAAAAAAAAATAAAACACCAAAAGGACTAACATAATCTCAAGACACTCATATCATACTTTAGGTATGATGTCAATTTTGTTTAAGGGCATCAGAATAAATTATCTATTAATAGCTTATAACTATTTTTTTTTTCCCTGTTGCTTTCCAATTATTGCAATCAAAAAAAAATAATGGTGGTTTGTGTTTGTTTGCACTATTGCAATTTTCTGTGTTGTTATTTTAAAATAAATTCTATGCCTTAAAAAATCATATAAAATGAGTGTCTTGAATTTTTTTTTTTTTTTTTTGTATTTTTTGTGTAATCATACTTTCCCTATTTGGTTCAATTTTTTTCGCAAAATTGGTGAATCATAAATGTGTGCATTGTTTACACTTATACTTAAACAGTTTGGATTTTTCTTCTTTTTTGTTTTTCGTTCCCTATTTCGTATATTCTATTAGTATTTTCCACTCTTTTTTTTTTTTTTTTGTTCTCTTATTCACTTTTTTTGTTTGGCCCAGGTGTGGAGTTAATATTGTTGGTTTTTTTTAAGTAGTAAAAATTGTGATTGTAAATTGACAGATGGTGGGTATCAACCATAATTGTGATTTTTTTTTTTTTTTTTTTGTGTGTAGTGCTATTA